ACCAAGCCTCTAGGCAAACAAACAAGGCCGGAGGTTTGAAATGGCTTCTCGTTGCTTCTGAATCTTGGCAGAGCAAACCTCCCCAAGGCAGACCTACACCAGGGTCCTCGTTCTAGAAGAAACTTGGGTTTTCTAAAGTTTCCTTTGCGGACCAGCAAACAGTCGAGAAACATACCGATGGGAAAGCACCAAGTCAACCTTTTGCAGGAGATCAGGTCGGATCCATGCAAAAGGAAACCACTCATGCTTGGGCGTTCCCCCATTTGACAAGATTAACTTTTGGTTTCCGATGGGCTCTGCTTGAACAAACCAGCCAAACAAAGGGGGCAAGCCCCAAACAACACTCACGCCCACAGGGCGGGGGTCGGAGTGACGGTCTCAGTGACCCCTCTCCGCTTTGACGCGCACCAGGGCCCCATCTTGGAGCTCAAAGGTATGGGCCACAAAGCCGTGGGCGTCATTGAGGAGTGGGCCCCGGAGTTGTTACCTGCAAGCTGGAAATGGGCGGGACTGCCGGGGTTTCCTCCAGTTGTTGTTTGGTTCTTTTTTGAGGGTAGGCTGGACATGTTTGACTCATACAGTGGGGTAAGTTCAGCTTGCTTTTTTTCTTCTTCTTTTTTCTCGAATCAGATCTTGTTCGGCAATTGTTTGGAGGTTCAGTTCTTTAAGGTTCGCAGATTATGGACCAGACCCAAGAAGTTGCAAATATGGTTGTTTGCTTTGGGAGCAAAAGCTGTGGTAAATTGGACATCGCATCCCGGGTTGGGCGTTTCTTCCAAAGAAGGGGTTGTAACCCCGCCCAAACCCTTTTCTAGTCGTTTGGAGTGCAGTCTTTCTTTGCAAGCCCTTGAACTTTGAGGGAGAACCAAGCGAAGGCAAATGAGTTCAAAGGGGTTTGGCGAATCGACTCATTCCAGGTTTTGATAGGTGGTGCGAAATGGATTTCGTCCATCCACAGTATGGGCCCTTCGCTTGAAGCCTTCCATCGGCAGAGGGCCCGTGATCCCGGCCGCCGAATCAGCCCTGAGCTTCATGCTGGGGGAAAAAGCAGCTGCGACGGTCCTTTTTCCCCCCTTTAACTGGCCAGAGAGGTTGGGCGACAGGCTTCTTCCCACATTGCCAGGGTCCGAAACAGTGGGAAGGGCGAATCAGCTGTTGGAATACACTCTTTCAGGCTAACATGGAAGCTCCCAGAAAGCCCCTGTAAATGAAAGCAAGTCATCCAAGCAGGTTGTGGGAGCTTCCATGTTAGTTTGGGGGAGGGTGTCCTTTAATGCGCCGTTGCTCAAAAACCCTCTAACTTGTCCCATCCTGGCTTCTTTGCTTCTTTGGTTAGGCAAAATGTTCTAAGCCCCGTATGGGCATGTCTTTTGGGGGTAACCCATGAGGGAGGCCAACAGGAAGGCACAAGATAAGATGGTTGGATCCTCCTTATGTATGTCCTTATGTTGGGACAAGCATCAATGATACTTCTGTCATGCCTTTTGACCCCCTATTAATCCACCAGATTGATTCATCAGGTCGAAAGTAACAAAAATGGGGTCTTATTTGCCTACTTGCCTGTACTGAATCTTGGGTTCCATTGACGTCGGAATCTGAAGTCCCAGCTCAAAAGGACATGCTGATATGCTGGAATGTTCCTTTTCCCAGGGTTTTTCGGGTGTCAAAATAGGGTCCCCCCCCCCAAAAAAAAAAACAAAAGTGGCTTCCTTTGGTGTCTAGTTGAACCCCCGGCCCAAAAGGGCACTCTCAAAGAAAACGCCATGTGGGGTTTAGTTTTGTTGAGGGCAGCCTTTTTTTAAGGGTGGCTTTAAATAGAAACCAACATTTCCATTTTTTCTTTTGTTGGTTTGAAAGGGAATCTATGACTACTGGACATGTTTTTGTTTTTGTTTTTTGTTTTTTTCTCTGGGGACTTAAGCAAATGGAGGAAGAAGCAGCCACAGATTTTAGGGTGCCCCCAATCTAAGGCACGCCCTAGCTAAACACCAGGATGACGACATAGTGGCCCATGGCGTGGCCAAAATGGACAATGAGATGATGGTGCCGCTCAGTGCCCTGCCTGGATGTTTACGCTGGGTTTCAACCTTCGGCTCGTGGTTTCTTCCATTTGCTAGAACGCCCATTTGTTTGTCTAGCCTTGCTGATTTTCCAGGGAACTCATCACCACTGGACACCTCTCCCCTTTTTCTTCCAGGGGGCTCAAAGAAATGGAGGAAGAAATTTGCCTGGATCGCTTAGGTTACCCCAAAGGTGAGCAAGAAGGATATGGTTTATAGTATGTTTTTTCTTTTGCAAACCCCCTCCCCCATTTGTACTGCATTCACTTTTTGCGGACCCCCCCCCCCAATGTGGCACACAGTTGGGGCAGCCCTGGCAGAGTCGGTTTCCATTCGCAACCAAAAGGCGGGTCCAAAAAGAAAACACACACACACACACTGGGTTGGATGACCTTTGCGCTGGGTAAGGATGAAGGTCCTTTTAGAGGTTTCTCAAGTGAGCTTGGTCAAATCTGTTCCCCAGCGCAAACGTGGTGTATTTTCTAAACCAATCTTGCTTATAGGCCAGCTCAAGGCTGCGTTGTTATTGTTGCTTTCAAAAGTCTACTTCCGAGCCTTGCAGGGCGCGTTGTAGGTCCAACCAGGCCCTGCGGTCGAGCTGGCCCAAGCCCAAAGTGAGACCTTGCCAAACAATTGCCAAGCTGTTGGCTTTTGGAGGAATCAAATATTCTTCAATATAAAGGTTGCTGTTTCGCGCCCAGCAACCCATGTTTGGTACAATCGCATTGTCCCAGGTGAGCTTTTTCACTCCTTTGAGTACTCAGCGAGCTGATGTGGCTTGGAAAGAAGATCCGCCTCTTCAATTGAGGTTCGGTCAGAGCTGCTGGTAGTCTAATTTCCATTTGGAAGGGACACGGGGGGACTCACTGAATTTCGCACAAAACCTAGGGACTCGTCCTCCGGGGGAAATCACTTTTGTTTTTGTTTTTTTTGCGTGGCTCACATGTGCATATGGATTTGTAAACCTCCATCAAGCATGGCAGCATCCCGCCCTTCCTGAAGCGTGGTGAAGAACTCAGAAGCCGCGAAAGCCAGGACGATTCCAACTGTCAGGCCTGAAAGGCAGGGTGTGTAAGCACTCTGGCATACTTGATATGTTAGCCTTCTTCCCAATTATTCGATCGCGGGCCCCTTTCTGCGCTTTTCTCCTCATAGATCCTCCTTTCCTAGGAGGGCCAAAGGCTAACAAACAAGCACCTTTCCTTTCAATCGATTGTGTGAATAGACAGGCTTTGTTCGACCCAGAGCTCCCAGAATTCTGCAACAATGGTCAGCGTCAAACATCATCATCCAGTTGCCCGGTGGTTGAGGGCGGAGCAAACATGCAAATTCCAAGCTTCCACGGGCATGTGATCTACAGGTTTCATCTCTACTTTGGCCAACATTTGATGTTTAGTTCCAAACAAGTTGTTTTTTTGTATTTGTGTGTGTGCTCCCAAAAGCAGACCAGTGCCCCAAAACGTGGGGTAGAACTTTTTGACCATTAATGGGGGTGACCCGGACACACCCACACCCTGAAGCTGTGGGCATGCCCCAGTGAGATTTCCCTAGCGGTTCCCTGTGGTGCGGCTTTGGGGCGCCTCGACTTGCCTTCTTTGACCTCGTTGCAAACCGAAGTCTGGCCAAGTAAAGATCATTTTCCCAAGGTCACAAGTTCTACCCGCCAAAAGGATCCAACCAGTGGATGTGACCCTCACAGCTGGGTTTCTAAAATGGCAGACCTTTTGGCATTGGTATTGAAAACAAATCCAGAGGAAGGCAACCATTTGGGGTACCCGAAATTTTAGAAGCCCTCAACTAAGGTTGCTCCCCGACTTGTTTTCTCATGTATGTTGCCGTTTGGCCCAGAGTTGTTTGCATGAATGTCGCCCCTGCAATGAATTTGAACGGGTTAACCCCCCCCCCCCTTCCGATTTTTTGCGACAAACCCAAGTCGTAATGTTAGCCCTCGAGCCAAGGACAGCGAGCCATCGAACCGTTGCAGCTAGAGTGCGATCCGCTCTATCGAGCAGACGGCTGCCATGGCTCCCAGATGAAACCTACAGATATACAGACTCTATATATATATATATGTATATATCATGTTTGTACAACATACATATATATATATATATATAAAAATGTATGTGTGTATTTATGAGATATACTTGTCTGCCGGTTGATTCGAAATCCTGTGTTTACACCCACAGTCCAGCTGGCCATTCAGTCTTTTGTGAATCTCTAACAGCTGAAAAAGCAGCGGTTCGGGCTGCGGGCGGTATTGGCATAGCAGCGGGTACGGATGGAACTTGGACCTCGTGCCTTTCTTTCCATCAGCTGAAAGCTATGGGGTCGATAGGCCCAGATAGGCTCCAGGGTGATTTTTCAGGGAGGGGTGATGTGGAAGCCTATTTGGGACGAGCTCCATGATTTCAAGAAGCAAAGAAGGCGGGACTCGGGAGGGCAGGAATGCGGAAAGGCTTGGGAACAGCCAAGAAGACTTGGGGATGACGTGCTAAGCATGAAATCGGAGCAGGAATCTGCCGCGTCCCATCCGATGTGTGTTTTGTTCTTTCTTCCCAGCCCCCTCACTTCTCCTCCTGTGCTTACCTTAGTTTGAATCTACAGGATGGTTGCCCAGTTGTGTGGGTACAACAGCTACGTTGTACGCAAGCCATCTTCTTAACAATTTTTGCCACCGAAGTGCCTGTATGACGTGTTTATATGCGAATGAGCAACTTGGGAGGTCCATTGTTGCAGAAGTGTACAATACCCCTAGCAGACTACTTGGATGTTCGGGCCGCTTGTAAGCCAGTAATAGCAAGGTCAACTCCACTTGGAGGGCTTGTAGGTTAGTGACAACTTTCCAACTTGGCCGAACAACCAAGTACTACAAAGGGAGTCCAGACAGCTGAAACTCGTATATCCGAATTAAAGGAACACAGCCACCCAGCGTCGCAGGCGGTGACTTCGTGGTACCCCCATCGGCTCCGCCCAACCCGGACAGCCGGGGCCCCGATCCGGAGTCCGAAGGGAGCCGCTGGAAAACCCCCCGTTGGGTGGCCGTTGCTAAGCAAGGAAATCGGAAAGAAACCCGTTTTGTTTGCCTCTGGGTCTTGATCACTTTGTCGAATATCCAAGTATCCTCCTGCAAAAGGGACGGCGTAATTTTCGAAGGGATCCTACACCCTTTTGCCAGGGAAAGAAGGTATGGAGGCCCCATGGGCCCTGCATTTTCCCTTTCTCACAAACTCTAGAATCTCTAAAAAGGGTTCACTTTTGTATCCGCGGGTCCCTGGACAACTGTCGTTGAGGGAGGCTTTTTTGAGGGTGTGACTCGTGCAACGGCGCACGCGCCGCACGCACACGCACAAGCACCACCCACAGAACACGCACACGCATGCACATGATTGTTTTGTTTTTGATGGTCCCCTATCGGAGCAAGTTAGCCACAATCGGTGGTTTGGGGCTTTCAACCGGATCTTGGCAAATGGGATGCCACCCCTAACCCCTAAACCACCAATCCAAACCGCCAATTAGAGGGTAGCTGATCGGTTGCTTGGGCGGGTGCGCTTTGCCTATGGTGCCCTTTGAACCTTCGCAGCCCAAACATTCGTTTCACCGCAGCTACGCCACCCGGAAACCTTTCGGCACACTTGGTAAACGGCACCGGTGTCATATAATCCGGAGGACCCTAGTCAGATGCGGCCCAAGCAATTTTAGCAGTGGGAGGGTGTCCCCCCGTGCGAGAGATCTCCTCAAAACAGGACACTACCTATTTATCAACCAGGGGCACGTGTGGAAGATCCCCTGAAGAACAGGCATCGACCAGGGGATTTACGCAAGGTTCCCGTTACGCGATGCAAGGCCAAGGAAAGCGGAGCTGTTGGCCGGGAGCTAAGTTTTCCCCGCGAAAGCGATGGTTTGCCTTGCACGGAAAACTTGCTAATTCTCAGCAGTGTATCTGAGGGAACGACCCCAAGACAAACCATCCGATGGTTTCCTTTAAGGCGGGAATCCCTTGGCAGTTCATTCCCAACATCCGGAACGGTCATTCCCTACTGAGAACCAGCAAGAAACTCCCAACCCGCGCCAACCACCATCTTCAGAGAATGGCTTGCCTTTGGACGATTTGCCCTTTGGCCCCTTTTCAGTTCTGAATAGACCATCTCCAAACAGGTAGGCTGGTGCCTTTTTCCCAGGCGATGGGTTTTCACATCGCCAGGTCTCCAGTGGGGCATGTCCGGATTGGTTTTTCCGGCCACTGGAGGTCCTCTTCGACTCATCTAGCAAGAACATCCTAAGGCGTGTCGGTTTGTCCCCCATAGATGCACCTCCATCTCCCCCCTCCCCAAATCTAAGATTATCTAACTTTGCTGCATTGTACTTGGATGTTTAAAGTGCTTTATATGATTCTTCTTCTGCCGCCTGCCTATTGTATTACGAGTTCACCTAAAAGTAAGACTTCGGCCGTGTTTGTTTGTTGGTCTGTTCGGCCGAGTGAACTATTGTAACTTGCTCAGGTGCTCCCTTGTCTTGGGACTTTAACTTTTTGCCAACTAATGGGCTTTCCATTAAACCACGCAATATTGAACTTGTAGCAGGGGAGCAGAAAGCAACCGAGCCAAGATTGTCTCCACTACCCCCAAATCACCCCGCAGGAAAGCATGTGTGGGAGAGAGAACCGGACAATTTTCATACATATATATATATATATGTATGTATATATATGTATATATATATATGTGTATGTCTTTTTTCCCCGTGAAACATCACGCTACCAAAAGGAAGCTCGCTCTAAATTTGCCCAACAGGTGTAGTGGAGACCATCTCACGCGCAGAGCGCGCTAGGCCTTGCTCCTCTGTCGCCGCTTGGTTGCAGATCACCACAAAAGGCTGCGGTTTGCAGTTGCCGAGTGTGTCGTTTTCGGGGTTCGATTTCCCTTAAAAGCGTTCATGTCCAAGTCCCTCTTTTGCAAATTAGGCATCTTCAGGTTCACCAGGCATGGACCAGAATTCAGCATATGGCTGCTTGGTTAGGGGCCATCACTTGGTTGCGGGGTTGGATTCCCAGTCCAGGGCGATTTCATGTTTTGGTGATGGAACCTGTTTAAGTTAAAGTATGTTAAAGTCAAGTATCGCAACAGGTGCCTCTTTTATTCCCATAGCCACTGGAGGTGTGTGGTTTTCGCAGGCACGGGGAAAGCAAATCCTATGCACTGAGTTTGGACTGAGCACGGGGAAAGGCACAGAGTTTGGACTGACCAAGTAAACGACCACCCGATGCATGCCCAGTCGTTCAGCGTCCTGATGTGCTGAATGACCTGGGGATCAGATTCTTTGGTCGTCTCTATAGGTGGCCCCTGGATAGATCAACCATTTGGGAATCCCAAATTTTGAGCAACGCTCAAGCACCATTTCTAGTGTTGCCACTCCTCGGTTGCCAAGTTTTCATGGAGACTTTTGACTGAGCAAGTCTCTGACAGAGGTGCTTTTCTACAAGTTGCCCCTGGCACGTTCATTTGTTGCGAATGCATGTGGGCTAGTTGCGAATGCATGTGGGCTATTTACGGCTATTTAGTCAGATCTGGCATCGCCCATTATTTCTCATTTTTTTTTTTTTTTTAAAAAAAAAAAAAAAAAAAAAAAAAACACATACCAACACTACTTGGGTGGTCCAACAAAAGTAAAAAGTAGGGCCACCCGAGAACCAATCAAGTAAGAAGAACGCCGTTCTGATTATGTGGTCCAGCTTTTGTGTTGCTGTTGGTTCTGATGTCATGTGGGATGGATTTGCAAAAGCAAACGCTGCATAGGAATTCAGAAGGTCACGGCCCAATGTTTGGGCAAAACAAGTTGGTCTGTTCCAATGAGTTTACGCCATTTGCAACTACTTGCAAACCGGCAGTCTAACGAAGAGTGACTGTGAGTGCTCATGAGACCTAGATTTTCCGATGGTCTACTTTGAGTCAAGGTTCCAAAAGTGATCAACTCTCCAATGGTCTACTTCCATCAAGGTGTCAGAAAGGTCAATTGTCCAATCTTGGCCCATTCTTGGAGCCCACAAAATCCAAACCCTTATTAAGGGCTTATTTGGGCTCCCTCCCCCTCTCTCCCCTCCCCCAGCCTCCATGAGACAAGCCCCGTGGTTCTTTGCAAGTGAGACCCCCTAGCTGGCTCGGGCTGAAGCGCGCAAGCCGAGAGGAGCCATCACCCGTCGAGCGCAAAGCTGAGGAGCGGGGCTGAGCCACGGGGGTCGCAGTGGATGTAAGAACCCTTTCTGTCAGGACGTCGGACGGGTTTCCCTTAACCAACAAGAGGGTTTTGTTGAGGGTACCCTGCTTTTGTGGTTGGAAAGGCACACCCGTGGGAAAGCCACAATTGGTTTTTGCTGGTTGTTTTGGAGGAATCTGCAATGAAAAGCCCTTTTGGACGTTTTGAGACAACCCCACCCTTGTTTGCCCACAGGAGGGAAGGGATCGCTTCGGTCCCAGCCCACCCAAGCATTATGGGGTTAATAAGCCTTAAGGCTAAAGAAGGCTTCAACCGGGGCTCTTTGGCGCTTGTTTTTGTTTTGATGCTTAAAGGGTCCGTGAGACAACAGGCTTCATGAATCTCTGACAGTTTCCTATTTTCCGGAGGAGACCATTGTGGCAGACGCAAATGTCATGCCGGAGGCTCCACTAAAGACTTGTTTCAAAGCGCAATTGTTTGACACCTTCGGCAAATGGCGCTCTCGTCTATTCTTCACACTGTTCAGGGCCTCATCTCACAACTCGGTATGGAGTGACCCACAGGCTCATCGCCTGCAAGACCCATAGATACACAAATGTTTGCTCGAGCTTCGTGGCAAATAAGTGCGCAAGTAACGGTAACCGCAAACACATGCAAACTCACGGATTGCGGGGCAGCGCTTTGGCTTTGAGCACTGGTTGGAATTGCGCTCGAATAGCGAGAGATTGCGCTCGAGTTTCGGGTTCTTTTCTCGCACTTCACCAAAGCAGCTAGGCAACCTTAAAAAAGTTCCGAATTGGATTTGAGCAGAAAAAAGAACGCTCGAATGCCAAGAACAGTCCGGAGATGTCCGGAGCACTTTTTTGTGCATCAAAGGGTCCTCAAGGCGTTGGCTGCTGGACGTGAGTGCTTCTAGCTGATCCGGACGATTGGAGGTAGACCAGGCCGCTTATTTGGTTAAAAGCGAGGAGTATTGCACCATCTTGCAGCTGCCGGTTGCATGACATTGATTTGTTTTGGCGTTTGGCGGCAGGTGCCAAAGCCAGTAAGGGAGTTACATAAATGACAGGCACACAACAAGTGTTCGAACAGTTTCGACCATGCGCAGTGGTCCACGTCATTGTGAAGACCGGTGAATGGCAAGCATCGATTCCCGACATTGCAGGGGCCTTACCGACATGCAAAGGTAGGGAAGAAAAAACAAGCGACCCCTCTATCGGAAATCTTCGCACCAGAAGGGAGTTCCTTTCGGCTTTCTGGAGCCATTCTGGTGGTAGCTGGCCCTGGAATTCCAGCTCGGACAGGAGAAGACGCTCATGGACACCCAGGCGGGTCCACAACTTAGGCTTCAGGATCAGGGTTGGTTCAGAGTGGGGTGCCGCTTGTTGCCAGGTAGAGGCGATACCAAAAAGGGATTGACATCCTAGAAGAGTGAACCAAAATGAGGCTGTGGTTGTGGGGTCCATCTAGGAAATGGGAGTGGCTAAGACTCCGAGTTTCCAAAGTGTTTGTGGCGTGGGTTTTCCAGCATGTGTGCGGACAGACGGCAGGGATGTGCAAGGTATGAGAGGTACGATCAAGAGATGCCCCAGCAAAACATTCATTGAACCTCCAAAGTTCTATAGCTGAGCTGATTGCAAAAGCCTTGCAGGGGACAGCGCCGGGCCAGTTGATTGAGGAGGCCTACCTTTGCTGCGGGCCCAACTCCGTTGGCTTCAGTGGGAGGGCTGCGTTGCTTCAACCGCCTTCAGTGATGTACAGAACGCTAGCATTCCGGGGTGAGGTTGTTTTTCCAAAGTTTGCGAGTTGCAATCCAACAAATCAAAAGGCCACTTCTAAAGTGCTGCTGCAACTGATTCAGAGATTCCGCAGCCTGTCGAAAATCCCAACCGGCAGCCAGCTTCAGAGAATCGAGGCTTGCTTTCCTTGGCCACTTGTAAAGTGCTTTTTGAGTATCTAGCTCTCAGAGTGTCTGAACTTTGTACTTCCTGCAAGAACCATTTTGCCAATCCACTCAGAAAGTGTTTTTTTGAGGGCTGCACAGAGTTCAACCGTTTCCGGAAAGGTGTGCAGAAACCTTCCAAGAGTCAGGAGGGATGGGTGGCCATTGGTTTCTTTTCTATTTTGACATGGTTGATCGGGTTGTGGAATTTTGACCAACCTAGTTGTTTGTCTCATGACCAACTGATCCGCACACAGATGACATATATGTACGGTGTATTTATCGGTATTAATTTAATCAATATATTTGTTTGTCCGTCTGCTTGTGTGTTTCTTTGATCCGTTTGTTTGTCTGTCTGTGTGTATCCGTCTGTCTGCCTCTCCGTTTGTCAATCTGTCCGTCTGTCAGTCTGTCCGTCTGTCCGTCTGTCAGTCTGTCCGTCTGTCCGTCTGTCAGTCTGTCAGTCTGTCTGTTTATCTGTCTGTGTGTTTGTCCTGTCTACCTGTCTACCTGTCTACCTGTCTACCTGTCTACCTGTCTACCTGTCTACCTCTACCTGTCTGCCATTCCATTTATCGACCTAAATATCTGCTATATCTATGTGTCTATCTATTTGTCTATTTATGTATCTATCCATCCATCCATCCATCTATCCATCCATCCATCCATCCATCTATCCATCCATCCATCCATCCATCCATGCATCCATCCAATCCGTCTATCTAAATCTAATCTAATCCAGTTTGAATCTAATCTAATCTAATCCATCTATCTATCCATCTATCTATCCGTCTTTCTACCTACCTACCTACCTACCTACCTACCTACCTACCTACCTACCTACCTATCTAATATTCTATCCAACCTGTCTGTCTGTCTATCTACCTATCCAACTTGTCTATTTGTCTGTCCGTGTTTCTATCCATCTACCTTTTGATGATCTGAACATAATCTACATTAATAAGCCGAGTCTAAATCTAGTTCAATATAATCTTGTGTCATAGTTCTATGTACATGTGTGCAAACCTTTGTTCGTGTTCGCGCTCGTTCGCATGTCATCCAAAAAAAAGAGGAAAGAACACAAAAGAAAAAAAAACACGCCGACTCCGAGGCCGGCGCCGGAAAGGAGGAGCTTGGCCCTCACAGGCGCTGAGAGTGAAGTTGGAGGTTCTTGGCATGTCGTTTGGTCGGTTGGGGAATCTTATGCTTCCGTTTGCTTAAGTGTTTTTCCCTGTTGGTTTTAAAGGGAATCTATCACTACTGGAAACGTTTTTTATTTTCCCCAGGGTCTTAAGCAAATGGGGGTGTATCGCGATGCCTTTCCATCATCCTATGGGGGAAGATGTGTTTGGAAAGGTCGAGGTTTATTTCGACCGAATCCAAGCATGGTCAAAAGGCCTCACACATATTGCGATTGCGATTCCTTTGGGTGGGCTGATGATCAGATCGAAGAAAATGGGGGTGCCATCATTTGGAGCTGGCTGTCAGGGCAAAGAATTGCTTTGCGGGGTCCAGCATTTAGAGAAGTCAGGGAGGGGGGTGATATTCTCAAATGGGAGTCTCGTTGGCACCCTTGGTTGGGTTGTTTAAAGGGAGATCGGGAAACCTATCCATCTTCGGGGACCAACAAATAACAGGCAACTTATACTACAAGGGCCGCCGATAGAAAGGGTCCGCGATCAAGCCAAATTACCTCGCGAGCATGGAGCCATGTGTGCAACTATTTAAGTTCTGGGGCCGCTGGGGCCTCCAAAAGCTTTTTGTAGACTCATACGAAAGGGAATCAGAACATGTGGCTTGCGGTCAAAACCCGGATACCCCTATCCTCTGGCTTTTGTGCCACACCCATATCATTTTCTTGCTGGTGCGCAGTAGGGAATGAGTGTTCCGGGTTTTGGGGGTTTGAACCGGAAGGGGATTCCCTTAAATTAAAGGAAACAAATCGGATGGATGGTTCATAGCGGTCATTCCCTGCCTATCGAAGCAGATAGGTTTTTTGTGTGTACCCCGTCGGCGTGAGGGAAGCGGAGAGGCAAATCGCCAGGCCCGGGCCTTCCGTGTGGGGAAGCTGCTGCAACGCATGGAGCGAGAAGGAGCCAGCGGTTTCTCGCGATCGGGCGGTGTTTGTCAATTGACTTTTGTGGGCCATCCAGTCAAGTGAGCAGAACGTCGGGCGTGAACTCGCTTCGGACCCAACAAAGCCTGAAAACGTTTCAACATACTGACCGCAGGGGCCAAACACTACACAGACAGCCAGAGTTTCCATCACTAGGTCGCATAAGGTGAACATTTTGAGGGACTACCCTGCTGCCCACAAATGAACGTGGAACGCAAGAAAGGGTCCCTTTCAAAGGATTCCAGCCTTCCGAGGGTATCAAGTTTTATGGAGAGTCACAAGCAATGGGATTCTCAAACCTTGATTATTGGGGGGGCGGGCGGCTCATAGAGGGAACCTTAGGGTCATCCCCATTTGGTGGCCAGTTGTTTTCCTCTTTTTTGGAGTGACAACCCTTTCAAACAAAAAAGTAGCAGGGGGGTTGCTGGGGTACTGCCAGCCTGCTTCTTCCCAATTCCTCCACATAACCTGGCACTTAAATTGGCTACCCAGAACCATGTACAGAATGAAGAAGGCGGCTACACCCATTTTTGGTTGGGATGCCCTTGCTAACCTTCGTCTACCCGAGTTTTGAGCGCGTTGCTAGTGTAAACAGTTGCGGGTGGTTTGCTTCAGATTTCACCGTTGGTTGTATGTGCTCTCGATCCAAATCACATGTTTTTCTGTCAGGGTTGGGAAGAGATGACGCGAGGAATGGACAGCGAGCGTTTGCTGGTCCCAGCCTTCGAGGATGAGGCCAGCACAAAATGCGTAGACCCATATTAGCGCATGTACATGTGTATGGTTGCAAGCTTGACCTGAAAAATAGTAGCTTCAATCTCGCGGCTCAGCGACGCGCCGGAACGAAAAAACCATGTGTATGTTCCCCTTTCCCATTTACACGGGCAGTATAGTGTATATAGGGTATGCATAGGGGACACCGAATGCAGGGACACATTGAGCTTACTGATTCCCATTGAGCACAGCCCCATGGCCACTGGACATCCTGGAAATGGAGGGTTGTTGTCAGTTTCTGCTTGGAGTTTGGTCCTGGGGGCCGAGATCTCAGAGGGCCTTTTCTAGGGGGGTGCAAGGGAGGGAGGGGGGGTTCCTAAAAACCCGAAGGACCCTCCCCTTGTACTTGTCCCCCTTGAGAATTCCCTAGTTTTAGGTCCATTTTCTGGACGTTTGAGAACACATCCAACTTCCTGTGATCTGGCGGCACCGCTTCAGGCGCGAAGCCTTGAGCAGAAGGAAGCGAGGGAAGATGCGATCAAGAAGGAGACCGCGTGGCCTTGGCTGAACTTGGTCACTTGAGGTTCGACATTGCCCCCCTGTCGGATGGAATTGGGGGAGGGGGGCAACCCTTGGTTGCGTTTCAAAGCTGAACTTGGCTCCTTGTGCCATATGGCATCCACAAATGTGAGCAATTGAAATGTAGCAAAGGGCGTCCCAAATCCCTCCCCATACATCATATGTTTTTGTGTTGTTTGATTAATTAGCCCTGGTTGACTTTGTCTAGCGGCAACCCTACGAATTCGCCAGGTTAATTCATCCGCGGCTGACGTTGACCTTTTTATCTTTTAAATAGCTTTTTGTTTGCCTTTGACCAAAGCAAGCTGGAAGTTGATTCAAATTCGCCTATCTTTTCCGAGCCCTTCACTCCAAGCCCCTTTTAGAGCCCCATTTGAGAAAAATCTCAAAGCCTTGTTGGCGCCAGGAAACCTGTGGGAAACGGAAGGCTAGTGCTTGCGAGTTTATGTGGGGCAAGAAAACGAACTCGCCTGGTCCTCTTTTGGGGCTTGTTTGGACTGTTTTGCACACGCTGCGGGTACACCTTGCCCGGACGCTCACTTGACTGTTTGGTTAGACTTGCTATTTCTTCGACGTTCCTAGTTCGTCTCACTTGGGCTGGTTTCCCCCTGCTGCCGTACATTTTGCCCGGATACAGTTTTTCTCCTTTGCTTAGATTGGCATTTCGACTTTCCTGGTTTACAAGAGTGGGCGGGGCGAGTCTAGAGCGGGCTGGTGAAAAGGCAGCTTTGGCACTTCTGGTCAAGGGTGCCAGCTTTCGGTCCGTCCTCTCTGAAGGAATAGTTAGTGCAGGTCCTTGTCAAGCTCCATGCTAGGGGCGAGATTTCTAGCTCCTGTTTGGGTACCGGAAAACTCCCTCATTGCAGTTTGCACACGCTTGCAATAAGTTGTTGTTTTTTTGTCTTTTTCCGCAAGCTAACCGATTTTGGGCGTAAAGCCAAGGATTCTGTGTCTCTTCCACATTCCACCGTTTTCAGGTTGAAGAACCGTGCCAACTTTCCCTTTGCTGCACACCTGGAACCCTGTAGCTCCCTTGCCGGTAGCTGAACTCCTCTCACCCGCTTCCCCATCAAGCATAAATTTAGCAATCACCTGTGTTCCAGTGTATGTGTCGTCTCGGCCCAGGCATCAGATGGAGTTCCGGAAGAGGCTTGCCGGTTTTCTCGAATCATTTGCTATCTTCGGGTGCCCGGCGAGGAAACCCCCAATGGTTATGCCCCATGGGTCGGGTCGTGTGTTTCTCTCTTTTTTCAAGGCAGCAATGACGCATCACAATGTAAGTGGCCAGAGGACCAGACTAAAGCTGGCTGTGCAGTACTCAAGGCGCATGAAATGCAATGCCCAAATATCGTTCGGAACGAGTGCACGTGCATTTGACTGGCCTCCGGAATTGAGCAAAGCACAGAGGGGTATCCGGCAGGTACCGCGAGGTTGGTTTCAAGCTTCGCCTTTTGGACTGGCCACGTTGTAAGGTGGATTGCCTTGTGGGGTGACGGTTAAACGAGAGACCTATCCCTGTTGCAAATGCCTCCGGGCAACTCACTTTTGAATTCGCGTTCTTTCAAGGAACCGTGGCGCAGTGGATGGAGCTCGATGGAATTATCCTCCTTTCAGGGGCTGGGGGGGGAACAGAGGGCCTTGCAACTGTCCATGCCCACAAGTAAAAAAGCGCAAGCACACAAAACGCAAACAAGCAAGCAAAACAGCACAAACAACAAGCAAGCAAGCAAGCAAGCCAGTAAAGAAATCAACGCATGCCACCCCAAACAAACAGCCAAACAAAGCACGCACACACATTTGCAAACACCCGCACATACAAACACACACGAAAAGCATTCCGCCGCTAGGCTTGGGCCTTCATGTGTCCGACCACGGTGTGGGCGGCCTCCTTTACTGCTGGGGTTTTGTGGCTGTGGGTCAAAACCAATGGTACCATTTTGGGGTAGGTGCACCACCCATTTAGTTTATTCTAGTGGGGATTGGGATGTTCACTGGGGGTACGGGAATTTGACCCATGGCCTGTCTCGAGATCGGGATTCCCCAAGATGGCTGGTCTGCTTTTTGCTTCCCCTTGACACCATTCGCAGGATTCAAGAGCGGACCCGGCGGATGGCGACGGTGAAGACGCATATGTCCTACAAGAGCAGCTCAGCTCGCGAGTTGTAGAGTCCTGGTTTGGACAAAATTGGTTTACGCCAGGGTGAAAGGATGGCAAAGCAAACTGGGGGACGGAGCCATGGACGCTTTGCAATGCGGCGGCAAACCCTAAAATCCCAATACTCGAAAGAAAGACTCGGAAGAAAAGGTACCCCCAGACTAGGGTTGGGCAAAAGTTGAACATGTTAAGTCCTCCAGGTTCGATTGCCCAAGGGAACACACGCAACAGGGTTTTAGTCAGTGGTGTTTCAACATGCGTATAGTCACCTTCGCCTTGCAGTTCGGGCGAGGTGCACCAGGGCTGAGGCACGTGGGTGGTATCTACGGCAAATCTGCCGGAAAAGTATTGGTTTCTCAAGGTGTCCCACACCTCTTCCTCAGGGAAGGTCATGTTACTTCGTTTTTTTTGGGGGGGATTTTAGCGGGTTCTTGTGTGTATACTTGTTTTAAGATTTTCGCCGCAAGTGTGTATTTTGGCTTGACCTTGAACCGGCTAGGGATCAGCATCGCATGTGTTCCTGAAGTGGGTTGTGTTTATTCGGCAGCAGCCAATGGAATATTAGGTTGATACCATAGGAACCCTCCTTTGAAGTGATAAAGTAGTCATGCGGATGGCCCCAATCTCATATCAAGGGCATATTTCCCACAACCTGGACTTCCCTCAAAAAGGGAATACGGGGTGATATTTGACTGGCGACTCAACTTGAACCACCCAAAATGGTGTAAAATGAACTTGGAAAGGTGCCCTGAAAAAAAAAGCGCGCACACACAAGCATGTGCTATGATGAGTCAAAGTGTCAGATATCTCGTCATGCAAGGGCTGTTGAGTTCATCAGAAATGGATTGTTGCCATCCTCAGGGCCCCTTGCTGGGAACCCCTGATTTGTTTAGGGCTTCAAATCCGAAGTGGGCATGGAGAGGCACCTACAAGGTGCTAAATACGTCGAAGTTGCTTAATGAAACAGGTGTGTATAGGCAGATCACACACCCTTAGGATAGAAGTCTCGCAGCTTAGAAAAGCCCAAATCGACCATTGCCGCAAACAAGGGGCTCAGCGCCTGCTTAGCTTCCAGCCCCATATGTTTACTGCCTTGCCTTTGGCGTGCTGCTATTTGATGCAAGGATCAATTTTGGTGGGGACGCTCAACCCCTTAGACACTTTAGGCAACCAATGAAGTTCCCTAGAAAAAGCATGCCACGGCCCACATGGGGAGTCTGCCAGGAGGTATGCCGTTCATGTAGCCGTAAGGGCACCCGCGCGTCACAATTCATAACCCTCGCATGTGGGGCTCCTGGAAGCAATTTTCCTCCAGGAGCCCTCTGGCAGGTTCCTTGTTTGTGGATGGCAGGTTTTCCGAGTTTCTTACAAAGGTGGGAACCCAACTGACCAAAGGGCACTGTTCACCCCTTTTCGGAACCCGCCCTTCGGTCCTGGGCTCCCGACCGGGTGTCGGATCAACAGATTTCCTGAGGCATCGTGCGGGAGTACGGGGAGGAGGCGGAGGAAGGGAATTTCCTGGAGCCCGGAGCCACAAACCGGAATCCAAATCCGAATCCGAGGCGTTGTCTTTGTTTGTGTGTACCATTTGAACCATTTTTGGCCTAAGACCTGGATTTCCGGCAGCGAAAACACCAATGGTGATGGACAATTTCGAGCTTCTAAACCCGTTGATTCGCAGAAAGTCCACGGGAATCCCCTCCTCTCTCAAGGACTCTCTTGAGCAATCAACAAGGTTGCTCCGAACCTCAAAATGGCTGGCTCGCCTTTTGGGAGGTTGCCGACTTTTGGCTCAGTGGTTTGCAAGGGAAACCAAAACAGCCGAAACCCATAAGCAACGACCCACATGACCAAAGCACAAGGTAGAAAATTGGTTTCCTTTGATACATGTACAACATTTCTAGACCCTTGCAGGGTCTTGAGACCATCCCTGGTCAGCATGATTGATAATTCGCTGTCTCATGCTGCTTTCCATTCAGAAGACATCCAAACCAAGGGCCCGGAGTTGAACACGGGCAATGCTTCCCAAAGGCGATGTTACCTCGAGCTTGTTTCAGGCATGGGCAAAGAGTGAGGTGTTCTGGGACAGGGTGATTCTCTCTATCTTAGACATCTACAGAAAGTTGAACGCCCCCTTGAAGCAGACCCAGCTGAACAAGAAAGCCTTACATGCCCCCCTCAAACCATGTCTCGCTCCATGAGTTTCTTGACTTGAGTAACTTCTTGTGGAAAAAAACATTTAAGTGGTAAACCAGAAGTTGCCAGGTTGTTCGTGCTGTTGTATCCGGGAGGTGCGAATTTGGATCGGGCCTGGGGACAATTTCGATGCTGAACCCTTGGACAGCCGCCGAATGGGTCACCGAAGTTCAGGATGTGTGGCCCAACCTTGTGAGCCAAACAGAGTCCGTTTCTCAAACTGGACCCCTAAAGACGGTTGGCTTCTCAAATTTGCGACACATTTGGCTTAGGGTTTAGGGTGGCCCAACAAACACTAACACACAAATTGATTTGTTTGCGGCACATTTGGTGGACAACATTTGGTGGCCCGAAACACACCAACACAATATGAGCATGGTGTATCCCCAAACCACCCCCATGGGAAAGCGGGGCTGAAATTCCATCAAAAGATTGACTGAGGGTATATAGTTGAAAGCAAACACAAGTTGGACCCGAAACAGAAAATACAATTGGCATTTGGGCCAGTCAGTAGGTCATTAGCACAGTTTGCCTTTGGATGTATCCTTCTACCAAAGCCCCACAATGCTTCGTGGTTCCCAGCCATCCCCTTAGTTTCTCTCGGCTTTTGGGGTTTAGTGGGGGGGCGAGGTCCCATTTGACCCACTAAAAGTTATAGTCACCTTCAGGGGGTCTGAAAACGGACAGCCCGAAAACCGGGGCCCAAACCACGCCTACCGAGGCTCCTGGAGCGGTTCCAGCAGTTCTTCCAACCCAAGCGCACGCTGCGGCCCAGCGGCGCCCGGCGGAGGTTTGAGAGCAGCGTCAAGGTCATCCGGGCGCCTTGGATTTCGGCAGGTTTTCTCAAGGCCTTGAAAATTAGTTGGTTCCTATTCTGTTGGCAAAATGTGAAATGGACTCTGAAGGCCTTGATATTGCAATCCCCCCCTTCTTGGTCTTGGTCATCCCCTTACCCACATAAAAGGAATTGCGCCATCTATTTCAACCTGGTGTAGGGTTTTGTTTGATTAAGGACCGTTAGTGAGGCCTTAGTTGCGTTCCCCCACGGAAGCCGCGGACTGACGCCTTGCCAAGGGCTTCCAAGGGGATTTCTGGGGGGCGGGGTTGTCCTTCACATTGCCGAGGTGCACGTGTCGGTGGCCAAAGTCTATGACGCGCCTTGGAGGATTTAATCAGAGGATTTCAACCCTGCCTGGCTTTCATCAAACTGTGCAGGATTTGGTCCACAGGTGTGGGTGCCAGGATTTATGTTTGCATTGTGTTGGTGCGGTGGTTGCATTGCCCGTGGCGGACCATCTTGCAAGAATCCCTGGCGTGACAGATCCCCAATTGACCGGTTCAAAGGCCAAGGAAAAAGTGATCAAAAGCAAGCAAAAAAGCAAGCAAAAAAGCAAGCATGCAACATATATTGAAGGCCAGCAGAAGCAAACAAAACACACAACAATCAAAAGCATAACTAAATAATAATTAAGCAAGTAAGCAAAGAAGGATAGGACAGAAGGAACAAATAAAGACAACAAGAAAGAAAAGCACAAGGCAAGAAAGAACGAGATAAGTCAAGCAACAAACAAGCAAAAAGGAAGGACACATGCAGACCAGCCAGCCAGTTGCCGCCAAGCCAGCCAGCAAAAAAAACGGACAGACGAAGACGAAGAACCTAACAGCAAACCAACCAGCCAGCCCACCACAGAAGCGCATCACAAGCCACTAGGCGCTTGCTTCGCAAACGCACTTGCCACTTTCGAGCCAAGGCCCCGCTGCGTGTGGATCACACCGCGCCTTCGGCGCCTGCAGCTCCCGCACCGCCAGGCTGCTTCGCTGAATCTGAGGAAATGGATTGGATTGATCAAAACGATTCTCGGGGGCGTGTTAACTTGCTGGTGCGATAGGGAATGAGAAATGGAAGGAGCCTGGGGATTCCCTTGAGGAAACCACTCTGCCACAGGGGAGGGTTAATAGGGGTCATTCCAATTCTCATTCCCTGCTGAGCACCAGCAAGTCAATCCTTGGTTTGAGTTGGACCTACGGATTACGGATTGTGCAGGAATTCTCGGTGATGTGGAAGTGGTCCTTTGAAAGTTCTCCGGGCACCCAATTCAGATTAAAACCCACATATGAGAGACACTGCGGATGTTTTCCTCAATCATGTTCATGGCCTTCAAAGATCTTGGGGTAGACTATGAAACAGAATCTCGGCGTGCGAATTCAATTTGTGGACGCTCCTGGGCCAAGAAGTTGAAAGGGCGAAAGTCGAAAGCCCGCCCGGAGCCCCTTTGGCTCATTTTGGTGAGATGCCGGCGAGCCGAATGTTTGGACACGCAAGCTGTCCATTCTCATGGCATTGGGGTAGTGGCCACTTTCTGAGAAAGGCTTTCCGGCGCCCAAGGGAACGTCGTATTGCTGCAAGGGAACGTCTTTTGAAACTTTCCGAAGTGTGCACAATGGATATGTGTGATACTTTTCCTTTCCTGAGTTATGCAGACCCTCGAGTCCCTGAATGCACGCCAGGCATCGTCAGTTTGCCCAGTGGGGTGTTCTCCTCAGGTTCTGATGGCTTGCGCTACAGGACGGTCACATGAGTGCAATAAGAAAAACAATAGATAGGGCCACCAGCCATACTGGAACTCCTTCAGCCGCGTGCTCGTTGATGAAGGGGTGCGTTCGGCCAGAACGCGTGTTCACGACTGAAGGGGAGAATGGAAAATACGTGGTTTTAGGTGGCTGCTTTCTGTGAAGTCGAGGGAACCCCTTTAAAGTAAGTAGTGTATCTGCGCTGTAGCTACTAGCACGCTACGTCGCGCCAGGGCGACCTCCCACGCAGGCGAAGCTTTGTCACTTGCTGCGGAACTTCAGGGTGTCGAAGCTAATGGGCCAGTGGTGCTTCGCATATGACAGGTCTTCGCCCTATATACCGACTGCAGGCTGGCGCAGCACTGTTGGCTCTGAGAGGTCGTGGGCCACTTGCTCAAGCGAGATGGCTATCGCCAAGGATTTACTTCACTCTGTCAGCTTGGCATTGCGCCAGCCTTCGTTGACTTGCTGGCTGCTTCGCGAACGCGTTTGCATTTTGCCGCCTGAGCCTTGTCAACAAAAAGCTGCATTGGGGCATGAACATGCTAGCTACCGTGGTGTCACAAGGGCGATTACTCCACATGTTCTTTTTTGTTTTTTTCACTTTCTTGTTCATGTTTGGCAGGGCTGCACAGCAACACCTGACATCCCAGGGGTTGGAAATGCATCATTGCTTCACGGTTGGCATGTCGTTGACTTTGTTGTTGGTTTTTATAGGTTCCGTTGGCTTTCAGTGGCCGCAAGAAGCCAACTTAGGGGATAGAATGCTGCGGGCCCAGTTGTCTACCTCTAAGGTTCTCACCGGGCCTGGTGGTTTCCGAGGTTCTCAACCCACTTAACATGCATGCAGGTGCTCGTGGTGAAAAGTGGACTTGATGTCTCCTTGAGGCATCGGAAGCTAACCAGAAAGCAGTACCACAGCCAACATTTGTTTGTTGACCCCGGAGCAGGACAACGTTCGGATGAATCAGGGGGCGTTTCCCCCAAAGCAAAGCATTCCATCTAGGTTTGAGCACGTGTAAGACTAGCTGTGTCGTTTCAGTTTGTGCAGTTTCTGCAAGGGTTGAAATGCGAGGGGCAATCTTTCTCAAGGTCTAGCGGTTGTCAATTCTGGGTTCCCATTGGGGGAAAGGTGGTTCAGAAGCTTTCCACCACCCTCGTGGTTTTGTGACAGCCTTTGAGCCTCTCGCAAGGCTTCTCTTCAGCTGGAGGCTTCTCCTCGCAAGGCACTCCTGGCCTTCCCGTTCCCTGAAAAAACTGCGCCTTTAATATCCCAGTGTTTGAAAAGATGAGTGGCCCTGAACCCCCAAGAAATTCTGAAACCGCTCTCTTTTCTTCCCACGAAAGGATGCCTCTTGGTGGAATCCGTCCAGTTAGCCCTGATGGAGAAATTGAGGTCTTGATATTCCTGGCTTTCCTCGTGACCAAAGCTGACATCTCAGCATTTTCAGACATGAACAAAGACTTGGTTTTCTAGCTTTTTAGTCATCGGTCCAAAAGCTTCAGTCTTCACATCCAGCAATCCAATTCTCGCTAGCGGCTGTGTTCTTGTGGTCGCCTTTGCTGATTCTGATGCATTCACGCACGAGCACACGGCAAAAGAGATGCGTGAACCCAGCATTGGTTGCCCAAAAAGGAAGCGCATAGGCTCCAATTCCAAAAAGAAGCTCTGTCCAAAGGGGGGTTTGCGCAAGTCCGCAACTGAAGAACTGAGCTGATGATGCTTTCGGGCTGCCCTCAGCCGGCGAATTCGCCATGCAGTACTCCAAAAAGATACCTCCCTCCATAGACTCTTACAACTAGTGCGCTAAAGTAAAGATTTGGAGGGGCTTTCAGAGAAGAGTCTGGTGAATTGCCATGTTTTATGATTGATTTACCTGGAGTTGTTTTCACCGGCCGCTGACATGAAGAAAGTCCCAAAGTCCGAAAGTCCCAAAGTCCAAAAACGGGGCTCGGACGACTCGCATCGCTTTCTTCGCCAGGCTACCCAAGTTTCGGGCTGCCGCCGCGGCCTTTAGACATGGTGTGCCCTGGCGGATCTGCAGAGCTTCGGGGTCCGGGCGGGCATCCGAATGAACGGTTGGCGCGAGGGTTTCCAACCAGGACATGTCCGCGTTTTTGTTTAATTAACAAGAAACACAAACCAAAAGCTGTCCTAGTCACATGGCCATTGGCCATTCAGAGGGTTTTCCCTTTCATGCTGCAGTACTCGCGCATGACCATTGAAAAGGATCTGTCCTCAAATTGAGAAATGCTTGTTCATGGCCACAAGGGGGGTTCCCTCAAATAGCGCCTTTCATTGTTTGTGTTCAGCTTGTTTGTTTTGCGTATTTGTTTGCTTCCTTGTTTGTTTGGCGCTTGTTTCTTTTTTCCCGAATGCGTAGCGAAGGGTTCTCGTTTCTCAGTGGGGGTCTGGGAGTGGAGGCCGTGTTCGGGAGGAGTTGCTCCAGAGTTCGCAACCGTCCGCAACCGTTCGCGGTGAGGCGATAAGCGTGTGCCATTGGAATTCGTCGTGGAAGCGTGTTTTTGATGGAGCGGCAAGTGCTGTTTTCGTTGGCCCTGTGTGGGAATCGTAGCTTCTCAAGCTCGACGTGTCGTTCCGCTGCGCAGGCGCAGTGTTTTGGAAGGCTGCGTGTTCTCGTTGCCGTGCCATTCGGATTTGCGATCCAGGGGTGGTCGCTTTGAGGTGTCCTGCTTGGCAGGCGCGTGATTGTGTTTGCACCGGCGCCGTTTTCGTTGGCCCTGTCGTACAATCGGCTAGCGAGATCGCTCTGGCTGTGGCGCGGTGCACATTTTGAGAACGCGAAACGAACCCTCTGCGCACTTTGGGTTGGTCAAATTGCTCTCGCTGTGGTGCGGTGCGCATTTTAAGTGCGCCTGGGTGTAGAATTTCGTGGCAAGCACGTCACTTTGACTCGCTCTCGCTGTGGCGAGGTGCACATTTTTGCGAACGCGAAGCGAGCCCTCTGCGCACTTTGGGTGGGTCAAATCGCTCTCGCTGTGGCGCTGTGCACATTTTGCAAACGCGAAGCGAACCCTCTGGGTCAAGTCGCTCTCGCTGTGGCGCGGTGCGCATCTTGAGCATGCGAAGCGAGCCCTCTGCGCACTTTGGGTGGGTCGAATCGCTCTCGCTGTGGCGCGGTGCACATTTTGAGCGCGCAAAGTGAACCCTCTGCGTCGCTCTCGCTGTGGCGCGGTGCGCATTTGGAGACAGAAGTGTCGTTCAGAAGTGCCGATCACAAGTGTCCATTAGAAGTGTCGTTCAGGAGTGTCGTTCAGGAGTGTCGCTGAGAAGTGTCGTTCAGAAGTGTCGATCAAAAGTGTCGCTCAGAAGTATCGGTCGGAAGTGTTGACAGAAGTGTTACTCGGAAGTGTCGATCAGAAGAGAAGTGTTGCTCAGAAGTGTGGCTCAGACGTGTCCCTCAGAAATGTTGTCAGAAGTGTGGATCAGCAGTGTTGCTCAGAACTAGAACTGTCGATCAGATCAGAAGTGTGGATCAGGCGTGTTGCTCAGAAGTGTTGCTCAGAACTGTCGATGAGAAGTGTGGATCAGAAGTGTTGCTCATCAGTGTCAATCAGAAGTGTGGTTCAGCAGTGCTGCCCAAACTGTCGATCACAAGTGTGAATCAGACGTGCGGATCAGAAGTGTTGTTCAAAAGTGTCGATCAGAAGTGTTGCTCAGAAGTGTCGCTCAGAAGTGTCAATCAGAAGTGTTGTTCAGAAAAGTCGGTCAGAAAAAGTGTCGCTCAGAAGTGTTGCTTTAAAGTGTGGTTCAGAAGTGTTGATCATTGTTCAGGTGTCGCTCAAAAGTGTCGCTCAGAAGTGTCAATGAGAAGTTGTGCTCAGACGTGTCGCTCAGAAGTCTAGTACGCGCTGGAAAATCGCAACTTTGTTGTGCAAGTCTAGCGCGCGAAGTACAGGTTTCCAGCTCTAGCTGGAAAATCGCAACTTTGTAGCACAAGTGTAGCGCGCGAAGTACAGGCTTTGAAGTGCAACTCTAGTGCACGAAGTACGGGTTTCCAGTTCGAAGTACAGGCTCCCAGCTCCAGCTGGAAAACTGCGACTTTGTAGTACAAGCCTAGTACGCGAAGCACAGGTACGCGAAGCCCAGCTCTAGCTGGAAATCACAGCCTTGTAGCACAAGCCTAGCGCACGAAGTACAGGTTTCCAGCTCTAGCTGGGAAATCGTAGCTTTGACAAGTCTAGTACGCGAAGCACGGGTTTCCAGCTCCAGCTGGAAAATCGCGACTTTGCTGTACAAGTCTACTACGCGAACTAAGCTAGAGCTGGAAAATCGCGACTTTGTAGTACAAGTCTAGTACGCGAAATACAGGGTTCTAGCTCTAGCTGGAAAATCCCGACTTTGTAGTACAAGTCTAGTACGCGAAGTACAGGTTTCCAGCTCCAGCTGTAAATTGCGACTCTGTAGTACAAGTCTAGTGCGCAAAGTACAGGTTTCGATCCAGCTCTAGCTGGAAAATCGCAACTTGGCAGTACCAGCTCTAGCTGGAGAATCGCAACTTTAAAGTACAAGTCTAGTGCGCGAAGTGTGCAGGTTTCCAGCACGAGCTGGAAAGTCACAACTTTGTAGCGCAAGTATAGTACGTGAAGTACAAGTTTCCAGCTCTGGCTGGAAGATCGCAACTTTGAAGTGCAAGTATAGTACGCGAAGTACAGGTTTTGAGCTCCAGCTTGAAAATCGCAACTTTGTAGTACAAGTCTAGTACGCAAAGTACAGGTTTTCAGAGCTAGCTGGACAATCGCAGCTGTGTAGCGCAAGTCTAGTGCGCGAAGTACCAGCTCCGGCTGGAAAATCGCAACTTTGTAGTACAAGTCTAGCGCGCGAAGCGCAGTTGTCCAGCTGCAGATTGAAAATCGTAGCTTTGTAGCAACAAGTGGAGCACGCAAAGTGCAGTTTTTCAAGCTGAAAAACATAGTTTGCGCAGTAGGCTTGATTGCGAGCCCCATTGGCCTATACCGAAAATATTCTCTCTAATTATTTCTTGGGTTTGCGCAAAGTGATGTGCATTCGGGTTCGTGGGCTCTGTCTTGTTTTCTTTTTGTGTGTTTGGTTTGCTTCTGTTTGTCCGAGTTTCTCAGGTTCGGCGCCCAGCCGGAGGGCGTGCAAAAGCACCAGCTCCCGGAGATCGTCATCGAGCTGACCCTGCAGGCGTCCCGCTCCAGTCGCGGTCATCCAAAGCCGACCTTTTGGTTTCCCAAGTTGGGTCCATGAGTCATGGCCCCAAATGGCGATCGGGGGTCCCTAAGGGGCAACGAGAGAGAGATCGCCATTTTTGCGCCAAACGTTCGTACAAGCTGGGCGCTGTCATTTCTGGGCGGGACAAACCTTTGGGCCCTTTAGCCATTTCAGATTATTTTGTGTTTCTGTTTAAGCAGGAAGTCCATGTCTAGAGTGTTCAGGCATGTGCATGGTGTGGAGGTAAAAACCATGCACGTAAGGGTAGCCTTCCACACCAACAGCCACACGAAACTGCCTGTGAATAGAAAACCTGCGCGTCTTTAAAGTTCCCTGTGCGGGGTCTCCATTCCTACCGAGTGATCCGAACATGTTTGCATGTTTGCATGTTTCCCAGACTGAGGGCCAGCATGAACAGAACAAGAAAAAGGAACAAAAACAACTCTGATCTGTGGCTGTGCTTCTGGTTGACCCCGGAACTTTTCCCCCGGCACGATGGGTCCCACCGTCCCCATTCGCCCTTGGCTTGGGCTTCGCCAAGCTCCTTCAGGACATCCGCCGAACCCCCCCGGCCCCCAAAAGGAAGGAAGTCACGGAAAACACGATGTTTTGCGAGGCTCCCGTGTTTTTGGGGTGTCCACTGTGACTGAATGTCACACAAGAGAAAATGACATATTTGTCCATGTCCTTTGCGGCTTCCCCCCTTTTTTGACTCTCAAGGCAACAAGCAAAGAAGCTGGGTCCTCTTGCGCATGTTTTCAGGCTTCAAAGTGTTTGCCGGCTTTGCCAAGTTGCCCCTAGGGCCAACGAGTTTAATATGTTCTATTTAGTCAACTCGGGTTACTTGACCTGGTGGTTTGTTGAGGTACGACTTACGCTAACCTGGCCTTTTGGTGCGGTACCCAAAAAGTGGAAGAGCCTTTCTGCACAGAGGTCCCATTATTTCCGAAATTGAAGGACTTCGGCCTTTGCCATTCATTCCTCGTGTTTGTGTGGGTGTGTTTGCTTGATTTTGTACTTGGGGGTGGTCAGTTGTGCCCTTTTTTGTTAGGTCCCCCTTGGTTGGTGGTTTGGGGATTTGAGCCCCCAAGTCTTGCAGAGAGTTCACGGGCAGGTACCCCTCACCTCCAAACCACCCATCCAAACCACTAATGAGAGGGAAGAGATTGTTTCTCAGCAGGCCAGTTAAAGACAAGCATCCGCAGGACTTCCAAGGGAACTTGCTCTTCCGGCGCACGGACCGCGCGGCCAAGTCTACGGATCCGGCGCTTCGGAGAAGGGGAGAAGGGCGTCATTCATCCGGAAGGCTTCAATTTCACGGTTGTTGGCATGTGTTGTTGGTGGTTTGTTTGTTGGTTGTTGTGTTAAGGGTGGTTTTCTTGTTGGTTGGTTGTTTTGTTTAGTTCTGTTCATTTTTAGCGGGGGCTGCAAGAGGGGTTGTTGCTAAGATACCAAGGGTTGAATTGTCAACAGCAAACTAAGCACATTGATCGTTTACCCTAGGGGAATCAACAAGAGCAGATGATCCACTGTCCCATTGCAATCCAGCAGGATCTCTTTTGAAGCGAGTTGTCTTTTAGAGGTTCACCATGGTCCAAGATAAAGCAGCGGTCCTTGTTCTCCTTTTCTGGATGGGGTTTCCCTTGTGATGGTTAACTACGAAAAGGTCACCCCATGTTTTTCCCAGGGTCACTTGGGGTCTGGGAAAAGCTGAGGTAGCTCCAGGCACTGGGTTTGAATGCCTTCCGAACTCGAGAAACAGTGCTCGCGCGCTTCAAGGATGCGGTGGTGATGAATCCATGTGGCGAACCCAACAAGGCATGCTATGACTGGTGAATTTGTGGATCGGACTGGACATAATTTGTATGGAAGAGGGTCGTGCGTGTGAGGGCTAGACGCTCTTGGGGGTTTGCCGCCATTCCCTTAAAGCCGGGGGTTCGTAAAATCGCACGCGTATATGCAGGGCATGTATTTTGGGGCACGAACTCCGCACGACGAGTTTCTTTTGAGCGCAGGGCTTGCCTTGTGAGCCACTTTTCAGAAAATTAAGTTGGAGCCTCTAGGGTCTGAGAAATATCTTGGTCCAAAAGGGATGGCAGATAAGATTGCTTTTTATTTCCCGGTCAGGACGCGCCACGGTAACATTGTAGACGGTCGCTCGGGGCCATTCATCAAGAGCCACTCGCTTTCGGATGGGCAGAAGGAAGCGAAACGACCCCTCCAAGTCGTCCCCACAACGGGGCGCGCAGATTTGATTGTGTTGTCCCATGCGTCCCGCTGCGCCCCGATGTCACTGGGAGTCGGATCGACAACTTGTCGATCCGAAAGCGGTTGCGGCAACCTTGAGGAAGGCACCCCGAAAACGGATTTCCTTGTGCAGTGCAAGGACATCAACCAGATCCTCGAGCTGCCGTTGCATGGAGAGAAAGACGACCTGACACAAGAGAACCTGTCTTGGGCTCAGAGTGCTGGCAACGAAGGCAGTGGCTGATTGAAGTGTGCCCTGCCAATTCAAATATGATCCTGCTGGGGAACTGCAAGGGCGTTGCCGACCGTAAGAATACAAAACCACACAATATCATATACCGATAAAAACCAACAATGTGGAGTTTCATATGCATATATGCATGGAAACCTTGCGAGATGGCCATTGAGGCACCCCACCAGCTTCTGCAAGCGACAGCCCTGATTAGGACAAAGTACAGCGGGGAGCTGACGATCAACATCTTTGTGACTTGCCGTGCATTTGGACATGATTGCGTTTTACAGCAACATGACGAGACACATGGGGAGCTTCAGGACTTTCACTTCTGAGGAACCATGCTCAAACATTTGAATTCACGGGGGCTTCCAAGATGCCTTCTGTGTTGCAAGGCAGCACAACTGGGATTTGAATTCACGGGTTCCGATCCCTTCCCTTTCAGCAATAATGGCCGAAAGACCATGAAGGAAACCCTCTCCTCAGGCTCTCGGCTTCGAGCTTGGAAGATCATGTGCTGTTTTTTGTTGTTCCCTCCGATGGAGTGTTTCCGCGCGCTTTTCGCGTTTCGTTTCCCACTGTAAACAAGGGTTTCAGGGCCATTTTTGACGACCTGCGCGCGGGTTTGGAGCAGTGGGCGTATGTTGCGTTCACGGGCACACTTTCATGACTGAGCGCACGCCTGCCACATGATAAGCACCCACATTGACGCACGCATTATCATCATTGCGTGCATGCACACATTATCATCATTGCACACATTATCATCATTGCGTGCGTGCCTGCCACATGATCAGCATCCACGTTCACGCACACATTATCATCATTGCACACATTATCATCGTTGCGTGCATGCGCGCATTATCATCATTGCACACATTATCATCATTGCGTACATGCCTGCCACATGATCAGCATCCACGTTCACGCACGCATTATCATCATTGCGTGCATGCCTGCCACATGATCAGCGCCCACGTTCACGCACACATTATCATCGTTGCGTGCATGCCTGCCACATGCTCAGCATCCGCGTTCACGCACACATTATCATCATTGCGTGCATGCCTGCCACTTGATCAGCATCCACGTTCACGCACACATTATCATCATTGCCCCAAGGGCATATTTGAACATCGATGAAAACAAGCAGCGTCTGTGGGCGTAAAAACCCCAAGACGCATTGAACAGACAGAAAACTCTGGACCGAAAAACCGCGCGGTGAGAGCCCATCGAAGCGTTGTTGTTTGTTTTTGTTTTTTGTTTTTTTTGTTTTTGTTTTTTCTCACTCTCTTCAAAGATGCTTCTCTTCAACAAAGGGGCCAATCCTCGGGGAAAATGCGTGGTTTCTAACGAGAATGGGTGAAGAACATGCTTGGAATCAAGCCCTATGGCAAATCTGCGGACAGCCCAGATTTGATCACATCTTACAGTTGGGCTCAACACGTCAACAAAAGGCCTATGCAACACGAAACAAAGTGCAAGAAGACATCTACACAATCAATATACAACATTAAACACAATGCAGTAGTCATCACAAATGGGAAGACAAATGTGAAGAACAGCTTCCTAAAAAGAAAAACAGCAGAGTACAAACTCAACACCTTCCCCAAATTGACTGAACGAGTACATATGTGGGTCTGTTTTGTTTTGTTGTTGTGAGAATCCAAAAAGCAAAGCCACCCTTTTTGGGGGTCAGCTAATTGAATGTCTGGCTGAGGACGAGCTGACACAGGCCACCTCCTCCGGCAAGGACCTCCGGCTGCGCACGCAGCTTCGTGGCCCGGTGGAAGGTCCCAAAGGGCCCCGTGCCGTCGCACCGGGTTTGACAGCGGTTCCTCCATGTCCCTTTTAGGCTCCAAAAGTGGCAGTTACAAGGGAAACCACCGGTCAGTTGGTCAACTTTGGGGTTGGGGAAATCCAGTGACCCCTGTTTGAATATGGACATGCCATAGTGTTACAGTTCAATGGTGTCATTGTCCCAAGTATTGTGTGCATTTTGCCGAATATGTGTCATTTGCTCGGCTCTGCCAAGCGTTTATCATGAAGTTGATCACACCGTGAGGTTCATTCTGCAAGCCCGACGCAGTTTTCCTTTATCAGCCAACAAGAGAAGTATAAGCGTTCTTGCCGATGGCCACTGTGCGGGTAAGGGTCGGTGGGCCGTGAGATCAGCTGTCACGGTCTGCAAACAGCGTTTTCCAGACTTCCCAAAACATTTGTCCCTTTTTGGAACTGGTTGCAAGGGCAACAAGAATCAGCCTTTTTGGAAGAACCCACTGTTTATGGAAACTGGAGTGATGTTCACAGGGAAATATGGTTGGGTTGTGAAGGCAAATCACCGTTCTCCAGTTAGTCAGTTAGTCAGTGGCGCTAATTTCTGGCTCGATTTGGATACAACAAGCTCGGGGTCCCTTGGCGATTCGTAAGGCTGGTGAATTATTATGCAGAGTTTGCTGTGTTCACTGGCACCCTCCAGCATTTGTCGATTGCTGCCTTCCCCACTGATAGTCAACCCAAACTGGTTCCCTACATTCCCAGTTGGCAGACCATGTTGTGGATCCCTTTTTTTTGTTGATTCAAGCGTTCAAGTTGTTTGTTTAGGTATCCCTTAATGGTGGTTGCGTTGGTAGTTTGGGGATTTGCACCCATGGTTTTTGTATGTCTAAGATGGTTTGCACTACCCCGAACCACTAGCCCTACTGGAAAATGGGGGCATGCCACCACCGTAGGGCTGGCTTCCCCATTTCCTCACCTTAACCTCAAAGGTTGCATTTTGTAGAGCAACTGCCAGCAACCCCTGCAGGTAACGACCTTGCTGGGGCTACGCATCAATCAAGCTCAATACCTGATGTGTTGATGCGTTGGTTGTGCGTTCTACTTTCTTGTGTTGTATTCAATTCCTATGCCATTTTGTTGTATTCAATGCTTGGTTTCTCTAGCCGCCAAATAGTAGGACCAGCAACAATCAGCAGAGGACATTTGTCATTCGTCTTTGTTGTGGTGGTCATGACTGTTGTGAATTCCCACGGTTGCATCAGTGTTAATGTTCGCTGCTGTTCCAAATGTCAACTGTTGTATTTACTCCCTTTGAGACAGGTTAGTTCTTACTTTTGTTTTAGCTTTGTGGCACGAGCTGCCAAGTTTTTCCACTGCATTTGGTTCTGCCATGTAGCTTATTGCAACGGTTCCGGGGTGCGTTCCGCCGAGGTGTTTCGGTGGTCGTTTCCTTTATGCGATGTTGCTTCATTGGTGTTCATTCTGCCCAGGTTGCGGTTCATTTGTGTCATGTGTTGAGCTTCATTCTGGCAGTGCGCGTCAGTGGCTTGACTCTGCCATGTGTTTATCATGGGTTTGACTATATGCCGATACGTTCCTTGTAAGGTTCCTTGGGTTCATCCTTCAAGCTCCCGAAGCCATTTCCCTTTCAGATCAGCCACCCAGAAAGGGATACTCCTTCTTCCCCATGGCCTCTGTAGTAAAGGTTGGGGTTTCAGGGTTCCTGTATTCCCCCTTTCGGTGGGCTTGACATCTCCTGTTGCACAGGCGAATCTGTATAGTCATTTCCCGCTAAGATTCGGGATTAGGATTGGCCAGAAAAACGCCCACGGCAAATAGACAATGGTACACAAAAGGTAGACTGCATGCCAGGTGGATATTAGGAGCACTTAGCACTTAGCACTTTCCCAAGGAAACCCACGTGGTTCGACGATTAGAATCGCCTTCCTTTCTGTTCCCAGAATCCCAGTGCCCTTTGTCCCCTGTTGTTGGGGCTGGGCTTCCTTTTTTAGTCAACTACCCTGATTTTGGGCTCCACTCACTCGCAATACCGGGTGGGGTTTTGAACAATGTGCCGCTTTTTTCCCATGGCCTCTGGTTGGTTGTCGTCATTTGCTTTGGCTCAGGGCATTTGGGCCGTTTCGTGGTGCCCTGGGACACGCTCTACAGCGCGAAGTGCAGCTTGAAGGGACACTTCCTGGTGGATCAGCCACTTGGGCTTGCACCAATACGGACGTTCGCCTGATTGACCTTGATTGGAGGATATTGGAGGGCCATTTGTTCAGGATTTGTTGTTTGCTTTTTCCCGCCACCTATATTAATTTGGGCAAACCACCAGCATGGTCACTTACCGTGGATTTACCTAGATATTGTGTTTTCGAACGAAAACAGCTGGTCATTGCCAGAGGATTCCAACAGTGAGGCACTGATTTGTTTTTTGCAGACGCTGTCCGGGACGCTTGTGTGGGTGGCATGTTGGCTTCCTCATCCCTGAAGATGGCACATGGACCCCCAAGCTAAAAAAGGGCACTCCGGGAATCGGTCAGCCAGTGACAGCCTGACTTGACGCTGCTTGGAAGGCTCCCCTGCTGCAGATGATCGTGGACACCAAAAGTGGGGGTCCCCCAAAAGGAGATTAATCGACAAGCACTGGCTTTTGCTTAAGTGAATCTGCAGAAATGCATTTACAAAAGCGCCGGTGATCCCAACCATTTCATCCAGTGTTGGCGGTTTGGGAGGGGAAAAATGCAGGACCGTGGTGGTCTGTACTGATGCTTATGCCTACTTGAGCGCTCAACCCTCACAATGAATTTACCGCGGGTGTAGGCAAGATGGGGATCCCATAGCCTGATCCCAGGCAAGCCCGTGTAGGTAACCAGCTCTGTTCCGTTGGCTTTTCAAGCGTGGCAAGCCCTTGGTTACCTACCAAAAAAGCTAAATCGATCCACTCTGATAGCTTTACGTGGGGGCCCTTTTTACAATTGCTAAATCAAAGGGCGCCCCCTGATCAATCGAAGCCGAGTGCATGTGGAAAAAAGGTCTTGTTTTCCTTTGAGTGTACCCTTTTTGCGTTGGTTTAAAGGGAAACCAAAGGGAAACCGTTGTTTCTTCTGTTTTGTTTGGGGGGGGTGTCCTGGACGGGGTTCCTCAAAAAGACAAACAAACAGTGTTTTGTTACATTGCTTTGTGCCCTCCTTTCAACTGCTAGAGTAGTCACTATGAAGAGCACCTTTGGTATCACAAACATGGCCCATAGTTGCAATGCCTAAGTCGGTTGAGCAGCCTCATTTACCCCTTGCTCCAGTTGTTGCACTTGAAAGAAATGCCCAAAGGCTGGTCAGACCTTCGATGCCCTTGGCTTTTTGGAGGGGGTGTTCCTTTACTTCTATCTGCTGAAATGGATACATATATATATATATATATTAATATATACATGTATACATATATATATATATATGTTTTTTTCCAACCGGTTGGTTTTAAGGGGAATTTACCACCACTGCCACTGCTGGACATAATTCATCATGGTTCCTTGAAAGGCTTAAGCAAATGGAAGCGTATCAGCATAGGTCAGCCACCAAAGAGCAGGGTGACCTTTTTCCCCACGCAAATCCACCGGTGCTCCATCCGCAAGCGCGGCAGCTCTGCGAGGTACCCCGTGCTCTTCGGTTACCGCCCGAAGGCCAGGAAGAAGCCTCCGGGCGACGCAGGCGCGTGGATTTGGCTTGCTTGGACCATCTTGGACCCACCCTCGTTTCCCCGAAAATAGCACCCGGGTCAGAGGCCATACTGTTTCATGCTCGCAAAATGGATTTTGCGACCATCGGTAGTGCCTTATTTCAATTTTAGAGCTGACCTGCCGGGATCTTTCGGGTCCAAGCCATGAAGCGACTTGGGGATCCCTTACGACAGGCCTCGGAAGTTGTGTAGAGCGGATAAGTTCCAAACCAGGCGAGGCTTGAGCCAGAGGTGATTGGTGTCTCATGGCTGGATGCTTGGGCTTGGGAATTTCGCGACAAAACAAAAAGCACCCCCCCCCCTTCCCCCCCCACCCGGCAAAACGCAAAGGCGCAAATTGAATCTCTTTGTCTTTGATAGATTCCCCACTCAAAATTGCAACGATTCCTTTTCTGCCGAACAGGTCGCTGGGAGAATGGAACCTCCCTGCATCCTGCCCGAAACCCGCTCCGGGCCGCCTCAAAAAAGAGCCAACAGGAGAAGAACTGGGCACTGGTTTACGCCCAAGAGAGTAGATGACTTCACCCAGCAATTGGGTTTGTCTTTTTTGAGGATACCCCTTTGTGAGGGTCCCCAAAGAAAAGGACACACCCCTATCATGCCCAAACAGCTGAGCCGTGTTGAAACCGGGTGTCAAAACTGCCTTCGTTTGTCCGCCATGGAAATCTCGCTCAATCAATCCAAGGTTTACTTGAAGGGGCGATCGATTTGGTACGTCAGGTAAGTGGTTAAGCCTGGTTGCCCACTGGACTTATAACTCATGGGCTTTTAAGCCTGGTTAAACCCGCTTTGACTTCCAACCATGATGGCTTTTGTGGCTCAAACAGTCATGGGTCTTTTCCCCCATTGCCTCACGTGCTCTGTATTTTTCCGGCTCCTCCGCCAGTTTTTGGTTTGTCATATTCCAGGTTCCCAGCTAGGTGCCCCTTTGCCGTTTCTTTTTTTGGGGAGGGTTCCCCTACTAAACTAGAGAACAGAAAAAAAGAGTACCCTTATTCTAACCTCTCTACTGGAGGACCTATTCATGGGACCAACAATGGTCCATATTTTTGCAAGGTTTTCTTATTTTGGTCCATTTTGGTCCCTTTTGATTTCCCCAGTTTGGTCCATGTTTATGCATGGCCCCAAAGGTTAACCTTTGTCCAGGTCCTTTCAGCTGAGTCAGGTACCTTGGAGAAGCCCAGATCCATGTGCCTGGCCCTGGACGTGTGGAGGCCCAGTTTGGCAACCAGGCCCGTCGTATAGCTCGTATGGGAGGTGGGGCCCGTGTTGTTGTTTTTTTGGAGGGGTGGGGGTGTTGGGCCCGTGTGATTTTGGAAAGGAAACCCAAGGGACACGTCCAGAGTTTCTGGACTTGGCTGTTTAGGTCTGGACCAAACTTCCTGAGTTTCTGGACAATTTGGGTCGTAAATAAACAGAAAGTTCGGACGTTTTGGGCCATACACGCAGGACATGTATTGAGGTCCTAGGGTCCATTGACCTGAACTGAATCAGTGGGTCATGTTGTGGACATGACTTAGCACGAACGTGGTGAAGCCTGGGCGAAACGCCCTGAACAAGGGGAGTTAGGGAAACCCTTTTGGGCTGGATTGATACATAGAGCAGGTTGGGATGACCCCTCTGCAAGGATGACACGCGCATATCAAATCGAGAAGTGTAAAAACCGCCTCAGCATCCCTCCGCGTGTCCTCCCTTGCCGGTCCATTTGGCTCAAGCTTGCTTTGGCTTTTCCTTTGGTGACAGCGCTCGATCTCTCCCTTGCCATCTTCCGGTCACCATGCGCGTCTTTCTGGGTGTCGCAGCGATCCTTTGCGCCACTGCGGAGAACGTGGAGTGCACGGGCGAGGGATGCCTCAGTATGATGCAGGAGCAGGTCATTGCGACTTTGAAGTCTGAAAACTCAGTGGAACCCCAGACATCCAGTGGCGCCTTTTTCCATGTTTGTTGAGGGTTCCCTTTGCTGCACAAAAAGCTGTCAAACTACTAAGCTACAAAACATAGATCAAAAGTAAACTATAATTTCCCCTTAAATGAAGTAGCAACATACGGCGCGCTTGTTCTTGCACGGTCGGGCTGAGGAACGCTTCATTGCGGCTCTGGAAGAAGGCGACGCTGAGTCTGAGAGGGCAAGCTTGGCGCAGGAGAAGGCAGAGTGGGGCTCTTCGCCCTACGGCCACTATGGAAGCAGCACGTACAACAACAACTACTACGGCAACCCCTATGGCAATTCCTATGGCGGCCCGCCCCCTATGAACCCCAACTACGGTGGAAACCCCTATGGCGGCAACTACGGAGGAAACTACGGGAACCCGTATGGCAACTATGGGGGGAACGGCTATCATGGAAATTCATATGGGAATTCATGCTTCACCAAGATTGCGAGCTCCTCCTGTCTGATGTTCGACTGCGCCCATTCCCGCGGACCTACCCACTGCAACACCCAGGACTACACTTGCTACTGCCAGCCAGGGTACTGCTCCGATGGACACGGCTGCATGCCGCGCTAAGCAAAGTCTTGTGCGCATTGACCAGCTTGGGCCGAGAGTCTCCCGATGGGGATGGCCCCCGTTTTGTTGGCTTGCTTGTCCAAAGCGACTCGACGAAGAAGAAAGCCATGGCGACAAAGACTCACTCATATGTTTCAAGCATATTTCGACCAACGGCTGGCAAAGCCTTTAATTTCTCGAAGGGGCCACTTGCCCCTCTCAGTCCTATTGTTCAGTCTTGCGTGCATGGTCAAACTGAAGAGACCCTTGGTTTTGAAAGAGGCAACATGCCTGGCATTGGCGATCTTGGCTTTTTGCTGTGAACACGGGCTTGTTTTTTCAAGGCTGTGGGACACATAGATGGCTGCCCCCCCCCCAACAAAGTAAACGCGTACAATGAGTCTTGGCGCCCTTTGCGGAGCTTGCATTTCAGTTACATTCATGCACAGAAGCGCACTTATGTTTACATATGGATTTGAGGGTTGATCAAAGGTCCTTTACATAGGATGACCGTTGGGGAACACCGCCAAAAAGATCATGGTTCCCACTAAATTGGAAAAGCTACCCATGGTCATTTGGGGGCCAGGAACATTGATCAACCCCCAGTGACATACCCCAGTACTTCCAGTTACTATCGTAGGTATTCAGCTTGTTGTGTTTCATTGTCTACCTGGTTTTGATCATGGTTTCTTCTGGTTACCTACTACACTGGCCACAGGACAGGGTACCTGTTGTGTTAAGGACCATGAAACGCCAGAATCGTCCCCCTTCTGGCTCTGAATAGCTCAAAATGGGTGGTGTCCCTTTGGCTTCCCTTGAATAAAATCCCCACATTGGATATTCGGATATTCCCAAAAGAAGAAACACGCTCCATGTTCCACAACTCAATCAAATAGTGACCAGCGACCTTTGTTTCACTGGAGCCAAAAGCCAAACGTGCCGCTTAGGTGACTGTGGACCCGCCCTTGGAGCATCCGACGCGAGCCATGGCGAGAACCGGGCTGTTTCTGGTGGTTCCCTTGGTTGCGCTTCTGTTAGTTGGTGACCGGAGTTGGTGGAGTTGGTGTGTGAACTACCTAAGGAAAACTCGCCTGCCAAAAGCGAATCGACCTTTTGACCTTTTTCCATGTTGGTCCCTTTTTGTCATGGCCACGAAAGGTTGGTCCTTGCTCATCCATACACAATGGTCACATCCTGTATGCAGAACATCTACCCGAGCCATCAAAGCTGAGTCAGCGTTTATTCGGGTAGCCGGCCGGGCCACCGATGAATCAACTGGCATGGTTGGCGCTTTTCATTGCTAGACCTGGCTTGCCCCATTTGGCTTATTCCTTTGTGGGTTTCTTTCACGTTGCCTTATTTAGCGAAGGTAGCTTTTTACACGCGCCCCAAGCATTTGCAAGTGTTTAAATGCAACGTGCACAAAATACGGACCAGACTCGAAAAAGGTCATTTTGACTTGGAGGCAAACGATGAGATAGACCAAGAAGGCATTGAAAAGGACAATTGTGTGAAAACCAGCGGGGGTCCTATAGTTTTCAAGCGGGGACTTTCTTTAGAATGGTTGACCAAAATTGGATGATGACAATCCTTTGGTAAACATTGGTGCCTATGTGTGTTTTTGCCTGAGAGCCGTTACAAATGGCGCCGCTTTAACTCAGCCTGAGTGGCCATTTCGGCACAGGAATGTACAAGCAAACGGGAAACACTGAGCTCCCTACGCGGGACCAAAAATCGGATCTCGGTTTGTGTCCATTCATTTACGTATCAAGGTTCACTGCACATGGACCAGAATTACAAAGCAAGGGATGACTCTTGCTCTTCTATCTCAACTTTCGCACCCAGCCATAAAAATTATGGCTGGGTGCCAAAGTTAAGATGGAAGAGCAAGGGCCATCCCTAGGCCTTGAAGGATCCCAGGGGCCAGTTAAAAACTCATGTTGACAAGCAGGTTATATAGAGCATGCCCTTGTAAGAAGATGGCTTTGGGATGCTTCATCATTGCTTTTGGATGCATCCTTCTACCGGAACTCTGTTTGAGGACCCTTTTTTGGGTTCACAGCGAGCGCTTTGAGGCGTGCAACCGCAGATCACTTTGGGCAAGGAGCCCAACATGATGCTGAAGCACATCCAGCCCTTTGGAACGCAAGATGAGTGTGTGGTTTCCAGGGATCTTTGAAGACTTTACAGGATACATGATGGCCAAACTGCAGCCCTATCTCCACCAGCTGTTTTTGTTGGTTCTTTCTTTTTTTAGGGCGTCTAGATGTACCAGAAGATGTTTGGGTGTGGCCTCAAGGCACTCTGTTCTTGCAGCTTGTGCAGATCAGGCAACACTGAGTGGATCGGATTGGTGATTGAACCCCCCAACCAAGAAAATAGCGATCTCAAGCTTCTTTCGACAGACCGTGTGTGTTTTTTGAGGGTACCCCTTTTCAAGGAACACCCATTTTTCAAAATCCGCCTTTGACACAGGCCACCTCGCAGATGGCAGACACATGTTACATCAGGCAAGACCTGCAGGGTGCCACTCTCTAAGTCCCAGGGGATGACAAGGCGAAGCAAGCCCCGAATCGAGCATGGTCATGGCACCAGGTTTTCAGAGGGACGCTGGAGACCTCCCAAAATAAGCCCAGGGACAGGAGAGCACGCCTTTTTTAAACTGGGGGTTCTTGCGGGAGGCTCAGGGTCCCGCAAGTTTCTCCCAAGGCTTTCCCAAGGCTTCCCTCAGGTGAGGGGGGCCGACCCAGGAAGGTTCTTCGAGCCCTAAGAACCGCTTCGAAGGTGAGGATGGGGCCTTTCGTTTCCTCCCTGCCTAGGTAGAGTCCCTGAAGCAAGAGCTTCCCCCCCCCACACCCTCTCACCCACACAGACACAGACAGACAGACACACAGACACCCACATACAGACACACAGACACGCACACACGCAAAAACCCACACAAACACGCAGACACGCAGACACGCAGACACACAGGCGCGCACACACACAGAGAGACACACCCACAGAGAGACACACACACACACACGTTGGCCCCTTTTTTCCGCACACAAAGATCTTCGGTGATCGCCTCTTCGGCACACACCAGGGGGATTAGCCGTGCGACCGTTTCCCCGGTTGCTCAGTTGGTGGGTGTCTTTGTCACTTGGGTGGTTTCCATGCTAGAATGACCGACCTAAAAAGAAGCTGATTCCACCAGGGTGGCTGGTTGCAACTGGGTGGTTGGGCGCATGACTCCTTTATGACTCCGCTTGCGGTGCCCTTCTTCTAAAAGCGCCTGTCTCAAATACGGGAGTGAGTCAACAACCAAGAGAGCAATCACTTGAGTTGCTTGTTTTTATTACATTGGCTGAAAGGCGAGGATTTCCAACATTGCACGATGGGCACCATGGGAGGGACGCCCCGAAATTGAAACGCAAAGGTTCCGGTTGGTTGTCTGCGTTTTTTCATTTTAATCCTGAAAGCGTTTATCCAGTCCAGGAAGTGGAATGAGTCGCTGAAGTCCAAGCACAACACAAGCACCCTGGCATCAGCAGCCCCCCCCCCCTTTTTTGCCGCCCGAGTTTTTTTTTGTTTTTTTTTTTTTTTTTTTTTTTGCGAAGATCAGCTTAGCGGCAAAACAAAAAGTGGGCCATCCACTCAGGAAGTTCATTTTTGGCATTTCATTTGAAAGGAAGCCTCACTTCAGCCCAGGGCATGCATAGAGTTGGTTAGCATGGCCATCACATTTGCTTCTCATGTTCGGACTTGTGTGCCGCTTGTCCAAAGTAAGGGC